TTCCAATATTTCCACACTCACACATACATACGTTGCCACCAAAATGTTAAGGGATCGTTTTCGATGGGATTTTCTGACACCTCGAACATTTGTACTCGATCTAAAAGACAGTGGTGGGTACAAAGAGGCATTCATCGAGATCCAATTATTGTCTTGAACCAAATGACCGTAGAGAGATATCCTCAGCAGGACATACCCACTTTTGTTAAGTCCATTGATACAAAAGGCATTGTGGACTGTTACTTTTATATGCACAGTGACTCGCCGAGACGACATTTGTAAGTATAAAAATGGCTGGATTGCGATTTTGTAAGGCATTTGTATCAAATTATTCTTGAAAAGTCTTCATTCGAAGTAGACCAACGCTGACGGGTGACGATCTTCGGTCGCCCACGCTTAGACGCATAGCTGGCAAGCCACGTCATAAAAAAAACTAATTGAAATTTAGTTTGACGGCTGTCAAAACGTAAGCTGTCAACGTCTCTTCATTCGTATTCAAGAATAGCTTGTTAAATAATCTTTTGGAAAAGTACTCGCTCCAGAGTAGAAAACGCAATTGAGCAACGTAACATCTGTTTTTGAAAGTTATGGATACAAGCAGAGTAAGAATGCAAAATTATTGGAAAAGCCCTTGATGATTTACATTATGCCGAAAAACCTGCTTTACCCATATTGCCAACTTTAAAATTAATTGAAATTTTACGGTATGATGATGATAAATGCACACAACGGGCATAAGAAACTGGGCAGATTTCTTTGGTTCCCCTTTCACCTCAATAAATTAAAATGTAGAATAAGTGGCAGATTTGATAATAAAAGTAGTGGAAAAATCTGCTGGGGCTTTTATTCCCTAAGAAGTAGTTAAATTGCTAATCGAACAGGATGAATTAATCAAAAGGATATTTACTGGTATAAAATAACCAGAACTTTAAAACCACTTAAATTGATAAATGAATAAGTCCAAAAAGACGAAATAATGCAAAGGTTACTCGCCCTTGAAGAGCAAGCGATGGCAAAACAACGTTGACGTGTGAGGGGAATCCATTTTGACCTAACAAATAGCAGCAATAGATGAGACGCTCTGATTAGTAGTGAGCAGCTAGTACTCAGCCAGTGTTCTGTCCGCCAAACCAACACCACACACAGACGAACGAATTCCGAAAGGCAATACGGGAGATGACAAGGAAATACAGTTCATGGAAGGGAATAGACAAAGAAGAAAACCGTGCAAGGCTAGCAGGCACTTCGCATATGAAAATATGCAACTTGGAGCAGTCCACTACTTTGTCCTCAACTTTTTTAGTCTTATCTACGCTCTTCAACACTTACACGCTCAACGGATAGGCAAGAGTCGGAAATGTTAAAATAAATCGCAATAAACGCGTTAATTTAAGTGCATGAAAAAGGAGAGCACTTACGTGCGTGCCTGGCATGATTAATGATGTCCGCCTAAAATGCTTAGGCCGACCAAAGGTCTTTAAAAGCATGGTTACCTAAGACTTGAATATGATCAACAATGCGTCGCTAGTAAATTGACAAATTTAGTCAAAACTTGAATGCCTAACTATGAAAAGGATGCCACAGTCGATAGAAATGTTAGTCTTCGATTGACGTTTAGATTTGTAACAATCACGCGACTATGGGTAAAATAGTGATAGTTGTAGTACAAGTGATCAGCAGAGGGGACAACAAAGATGCGAATGGAAGGTAGAAAGAAGGCTCAAGGAAGGTTTGACGACGATAGCAGGAGCCCACAACTGCTACTAGCCTCCTCAGTCTCTTCAAGGGAGTCAGAATTGTCCAATACACAAAAGCTTATGAGGATCACTAGATTCATAGCCAAATTAGGACACGAAGCTTATAGGCACTATAGAAATACCTTGACCGAAATCAGTTTCAGCCGGATAAGTGAGTCATGTGAGCTCAAGACTGCCAGCGAGTACTCAGAGAAAAAGCGTTAGTAAATTACTGGGACGATTACGTCAATTTGGAGCTAACCTACCATCTTCCATCCAATCCGAAGGCATAGATGACATAGTATCTGCAAAAGTAACAGTAAATACATGTAACAGTTGTGGAGAGATGTGCGAAACACATTCAGGAAATGGGCAAAAATTAGTCTAAATGACAATAAAGAGCAATTAAAGCTTACTGCTTGGCTCGCTTTCCTTTTTATTTAATCTGATCACCGATTTTACAACTAAAAGTTGAACGTAAAAATAAAAGTTTGGAGGAAATGAATCTTGGCCAATCAAACATAACAACTGCTTATATTCGATAAGTTGCCCTTGAATGACGAAACCGTAGTAATTAGCCGCTTTAACGAGCTCAACGTTGCTTCAAAGAAACCTAAATGATTTAGTGATGAGCATAAGGGTAGTTTACATGCCAGATTAAATAAGTAAATCAAATTTTATGAACAAGGTAATTGTCTATTAGACAGATCCACTCTATTCAATTTGCCATAACATTAGGTGGTAATGAATCAACTTGGACAAACGTACTTGGGGAAGAAGTGGGTAAGTTTTGTGCACGTGAGACGGACTTTGGCATGTCCGATACTGGAGATTGAGAACAAGTAGCACTTGGATTCCTCCGCAGAAGGGACCGAATACCATGTCGACATTGGAAAGGTGCTAGGGATTTCGATTTGGATGCCGGGGGAGGGGAGGTGATGATAGCGGAGGTCAGTCCACCACTACTCAATCGCCAATTCTGATTTCTTCAAAATAATAAGTAAAGGTAATATTTGCAATGTGACATAAGCTGATTCAATTCCCCAATGCGGACTATCGCAGAGATGTGGTAAAACACTGAAGAGGCTCTCAAATATGATAAAATTCATGCAAATCAACCTCACGTAAAGGTCGAAGAGAGTCAGGAAAGAATCCTGGAAATAGCGCTTCTCAAATAAACGTGTGCACTGAAGTGAGTACTTTACAAAAAGGTGATTTGGTTTGAACCGATGGGTCGTATCGACAACTGGACCCAATAGTAATTTGGAGTGCTAAAACATTTAAATCGAGACAATAGAACTGTGCCCACAATAGTGAAAAACGGTGAAGCATCTGTAACACTACGACTAACATCAATGGTCTAACAGATGCCGTAAGCGTTCCAGTAAAAGGAGGGTTCGCGAGAGGTCCTGCCAATTTCACATGGAACGATGCACTTTAAACAACGCTTAACCAATCCCCTCCCCTTACCATCACCGCCACCACCACCTTGGGAATGATGCCGTGTGACCGACCGCGTGGAAGGAGAGAACGCAAACAGGTCAGTACACACATCTGCACCATGACTCCAATCTCCAGTTTTAAGCCTTACCACCCACCTATCCACCTAGTCAACCTCCTCCCATTCCTCTAAGAAGAAATCTAAATACCATTAACAAGAAACAACTGGTGCACTCGCATTAGAGGACCAAAGTTGAACACTGAAAGTGATCTCCGATGTGGTGCAAAGTGCTAATTTGTGTGAACCACTCCTTTCAAAGGCTCAACTTTTCTACAATCAGTGGGTAGGAATTTTCCTGTATTGGCGAAAACGAGACTGCAATCTTGCGTACCGGATGACAGTTTATACACTATAATTGACAAAAAAATAAGGAGGCGAGTTGCAGCACTTACGGCAAAGTCAACTCATCTAAAGCGCTTTGAGTTGCTTCGAAGTACTACGTGAAAACGATTGACAGAGACGCGAAACTAGTGGTAAATGTTACCACCAGCATGAATTGGAGCCCCCTGACTAAATCGGTACCACAATTTCAAATGATCATCGATAAGTTATTTTGCAAAGACCAAAATCTCATCATAAAGTCTCAATTCTGAGAGAAAAATGGTTGGTCAATGCGGCAAATGCTGTGGAGCATTCGCCTTTCATCGACAGAGCTTTAACGATGAGATTTGCCGTTGCTCAAGGTAAGTGACGACCGGATATGCGGCATTGAATTTTGTACATTGAAATTAAAGGACTGATTTGGAAAGCCAAATGAAGTTTCAACAGGACAAAGTGTTTTGGCGAAATTAATACGGCGATAGCCCGGACATTTACGCTTCGGACTTCGCAAAAATTTCATTGGAACCTAACCGATCTCAATCGCGATTTTATCACAAACCTGCGAAATTTGCAAATTCCCAAAAAAAACCCTGTAGAAGTGTTTATGGTTAATTTCTGAAGTAATTTATGGCTTTTTTATGCTTTTAAGTGTAAAGTCGATAAGGAAAATCCATTGGGAATCCCATTATTTCTCGAGAGAAAAGTTGGATATGCGAAAAACAGTTCAGTTCCTCCAAAACTCGTTTTTCAATCAAACCGTTCCTTTTTATGTAAATTATGTGTGGATGTGTGTGTATGGGGCAAGCAACCATTAGGCGAAACTGGATTCTCTTTTCACAAAAACCATTTATTTCATAAAATGATATATTAAGCTAGCTTTTCAATGGAATTAAAGTGTTTCGGGTCATATTTAAGGGTTATTTTTAGAACTAGGTATTTATTAGCATTTTTAGTGACTTGTACCAAACATTCACAACTTTTTCCATATCCGCGGCAGGTTCCGGAATTTAGCCACGTTAAAGTTCGTGGCATTACGGTACAATAGTCTAAATCGTAAATTCGTTTGATTAAAGCAGTATTAGAAATGGAAGACACCGAGGGTGGTATTATGGAAATGTTTACAACAAGCACTTTCACAGGCTGCCAACAAAACTTAAACGATGCGACTGCGAAAAAGCTGTTCCTACCGCGGGGCAGAGGTATCAACTCAAAAAAGTACTTGGCGATAATCTAACTCAGGTATTTAAATCAAATCGTAATTTAATTCGTTTTATTGAATACGCAAATTATCCTTTAAAACGTGGAATTTTCAAAGTAACTTGAAAGAGACTGTACTTTGAAGTTTGACCTGCCTACACGGCATGGCCAAAAGGTGATAAAAGGGTCGGTACGCGCATACAAGTGTTTCCGCCGATTTGCTCCTGACGACCATGAAAAGGCTATTAATGAGGAAATGACCCGGAAGAAACCGATTAATATCGAGAGCGAGTCAAAAGCAGACAAAAAGACCTCCAGAAGATTTATTGTGAAAGTACTGCGACACGCATAAGTCTAATTAAAAAAGGCAAATTTAAATCAACTCAATGGGTAAATTACTAAATAAACCAATTTCCTGATGGGATTCATGAGTGGAGTTTGATATATTCCTAAGATCGGGGAGAGTTTAGCGTTCCACCTACCTCTGAAGAGGCGGACTCCCATTGGAGATGACCTACCTGGGTTGCGTTGGGTCACGCTGGTGGGGCGACTTCTCCAAACATCGTGAAGTGCCTCGCGGAGAAGACACTAATTTCATAGATCTGCAATGCCGAATGAGCACGTAAAATGATTTTAAAAGAAAATTAGTGTAGCTTTCTGGCTATAGCCCTTCAAATGCGTCGGAATGGTGTCAGAAGTAGCAATACTTTTCATCGAAACATTAATGCAAGAATAAATTAACCACTTTAAGCAAAGTTCGCAAGCTACTCAGAGAGGTAAAAATGTGCCGTTTTTAAATAAGGCAAAATACGATAATTATTATAAAAACTGATCTAGGTAAATAAAATGTTATAGTGATAATTATGATATTACATTACAAACCTGACTGGGTCAATAGGACTAAGTTTTATCCTGCGTCAAAGTGACGAAAGATAAAACTTTAAATTCCGCCAAATACATCTGCAGCTATTAGCCACCCGATTTGATGCCCTTTAAAGTGATTAAGGCACAATCAAGGTGGGGAGGGGGACGAAACAATTCGCAAGCACTTTAGGAAGGAGGAAATTCCATCCTTTGATAGCTAGGATTACCTGTTGCTTAATGTCATTTACTGACATTTCTTTATTTCCAACTCATACTCAACCTTCACCGTGAAGAATGACGAACTCACAAAGCATGCCAAAGATGTGTAAATTAGGATCATGAGTTCAAAGTTAAAAAGGAAATGGTTCGATCCCGGGGAAGCCATCGCAAAAAAAGCTTATGTGACTAAAAATGTGAATGAATATGTTGCCTCTAGCTTTGCCAGGTAATCGCACCGACCATTCAGGTGGATAATGCACTCACTTTGCACGGTACATAAATTGTACCGAGCATGAAAATCTAGTGCTAATAAGTGACATTGTTAAGATAAAACTATCTTGAGGCATGTTAATTATGCATGAATACAATCAATAAGGTGTAAATGTCTTCCTAAAATAACTTAGATGAAGAATTTTGAACGCAGAACAATATAATAGAACTTAAAACCGACATGATGCAGGAGGACCGACCGAACCGCATCCGGCGATAACTCATGGATGGTATACTTAGCCCTTGCATGCGCTCATGCACGCAGTGTTGTGTCAACAAGATGACGGAGCTGCCTACTAGGAGATCGCACTGAAGGTGAAATACTCACGCGAAAACAGCAAAGACAGTCGAGAAAAAACAAGAAATGGCATGACAGTAGGGTTATATATTGATGAATCATTTGAGCATAATGTATATGGAACACTCCACAGGTTTATCATCAAGCAAAAATTGGGTATTTGTAGCATAGAAATCTCAGAAAAAGGAACAATTTAGCATGTGAATTCCAATTTACTGATATTGGAAATCTTGGCTAAAAGGTAAATACTAGTTAATTAATTACTACACGGCAATATAGCCAATATGAAGACTAGAAGTAAAAAACTTGAGTCAATGCAACGGAATCAACATCTCTTATGTATACATCCGTCTTATCTGCCGTGACAACGTTGATGAGCCTCTAGATGGTTGAACACGTCGATTATTTTAAATTGAAAAAAGTGAATGATTATATGAGGATGGGAACAAAAAATAAAATAATTTGGGAGATAAAATGGAGAGCTATCACTTAAGCACGATTTAACGAAAAACGTGCAAGATAATGTCACTTACAGCCGACCTAGTCGCAATATCTACCTATCTTACCATCAGTGTGTCATCAACAAAACGCACGCATGGCTATCGTCTAGACGTCAGAACATAAATACTAAAAACCGCATTGTAACCCAAAGCAAAGTCCATCGCCAATTACAGTCGAGAAAGTTAGGAAATAACATGAATTACACAGCATTAAAAAGATGCCCTAGTGTTCAACTCAAACAGCAACTGACATTTGTAAGCGATGCAATATGAAATTTTTTAATCCATGGTAAACTTCAGCGATAACAAACAACAAACTCAAATCAGCAGTAGCCGCATTGTAAAATATTCGCTGCAAAACAATACACTTCATTCGATCGCTTCTTCACATAATTTAAGCTAATTGTGCTTCATACCCAAGTTCTGACTAGCGAAATAGTTCACCACAGAATAAAGTAAGAATATTTAACGTATCACAGCAGATGTTAGTGTAAATTAGCTAATTTATTACGAAAAAAACAAATCAATAATAGTAATCATAATAATGTTCTCCAATGTATAAGATCGATCACAAGACGCCATCCAAATGAGCATAAGGTACTACAATGTTCGAATCTACTTTGAGGAAGTTCCCAACGCAATTAGTGAAAATATGAAATAAATTATCTTAAAATCCATATTTATGATGAACAGTCATATTTAATACTAAGGGGCGATTTACCACCGTAAATCCTTTTCTACCTTTTTTATAACAAGTAAAAGAGGAATTACCAACAGTTGGCCATAGAATTGATGGTCACCCATACTTACAGCAAAGTCCAGCGGTTAGTGTTAATCATGAGGAGAATGTACATGCGGTTAAGTATAAAAAATTTCCTACCTGGTTCAAACATAAAGCTGTGATGTTGCCGTAAGGAAAAATTTAAGAATATTATGGCAAAGGGTAGAGAATGAATGAAATGACTGGTTTTCAAGGAAGTTCATGCTGAATAACAAGAAAGTAAGCTTTAGCCAGTCAAACAGTTCGCGATGGTAAAATAGAAGGCATTTTCCTTGCCGTTAGTACTGCTAGAGGGGGTTCGCCTATGGCTAGGTCGAAGTATCGCAGCCACCTCCAAAAGGGAATCATTTCGTTACCAGCTCAGAATGATTAAGATGGCTAGAGCACATTCGGAAATCCAACCTTTCACGGTCGAGACGATGTTAAGTAAATATGAATGTCATGTGCGAGTGCTCAATGAAACACGTCTGAAGAATAGACGATGGGGCAATTTTTTCTGATGTTTAACAAAAGCTTTTATCAGTTATCCTTTCATAGAGAGAACAAATTGTGTAAAGTGACCAGAGTATTTGGTAGAATTAAACCAAAATAACATCATGAAACATTGCAAGTGACCTTGACACAATAAACTGGAGACAGATAAATTTGATATTCATATTATGACGATAAAGGGAAACAGAGTCGCGGTAGTACCCTGTTGTCGGATAGTGATCCCCAGATGATAGTCCAAAAAATAAATCAACACCACAACTTGGATTTATACGAAGGCTAATTTTGCCTCTATAGTCACGTTCATAGTTTTTAGACGCTGATTTAACATAACTAGAGGTGAGGTCATTAGAATATGCCAAACATGACTAATAGCATTACATGGATCTAGTGAAACGTGTGGTCCATGCAACGACTTCAGTAAATTTCAGCTTAGTCACGCGTTCGATTGTAGATGATTCTGCTCCAGACTCTAGTTGACCCCTCAAAAGCAGACGGCGACTAAAAGTACCCACTCACCCCACTTATATGTAAATGAGTTTAGTTTAAACCCTTTTCCACAGTAGCCTGCGGTGTAAGACCTCCGAGAGCATGCAACAGCCTTTTAACGAGGTAATGGTTGCTTGGTGCTTATCTGCCATGTCAGCCATGCCCTCTGAGCGTACTTGTTACATGGGTTAATGCCCGATCTGCGAGCCGTAACTGACCGTAGCATGACTGCTGTATCCTAGTAGAGTAGATTTTTCTGTGAAAATAAGGCACCATCTGGTATTCAAATTTTGAGGTTTAAAGTAACTTTATTGGATTCATTTATAGGATTGCGCCAGCGAAATTGAGTGTACACTGTATCATAATCGTTGCTGCTTTATTTTTACGACTCAGCTCTAGTCACAATTTTCGAAATGAGCTGACGAAGAATAAACCCATCCCTTCACCAGTAGTAGAAAGAAATTGCCGTTACAATCACAACCATTAGACAAGGAATAATACGCAAGTGGTTAAGACTATGTCAATAACCAAACAACTGAAGCTCCTTAAAACACCCAAACTGCAAAAAAAAAGATCAGTGAGGGTATAGATAGGTGTCATCTCATTAACTGGATCAAATGGCGGCAGATAACTTTACCGCAAATTTATCACCCGTAATTTCACGCAAGAAGAAGGCGGCATTATGAAATGGACTAAGAAAAAGACATGGACGAACCAAAATAGGTCAAATACAACGATTCAGTAGGCAAACTAAAGTACTGTAGGATTAGAAGTTTATGAGTTGCAGTATAGTAACATGGAAGTACAAAGATGAATAACTATTGCTTTCTGTAATAAGTTTGACAGTAAACCAGTAACAACTCAAAATATCGACGTTTATAGCACAATCTGAAACAACAGTCCAGATGACTAGCTTTCACACAATCCGAGAATGATTTCACATGTCACGAAAACCATTAACACGTAGCCTTTGGGAAACTCTGATCAAGTGTTAAAAAACGGAAAGGACCTAGTTAGGAAGACGTTAGAAATGGTAGTAACATCGGCAAGCTGACAAAAGCCATGGGGAACGTAAAATTAACCAGTTTGATTATATTGAAGACTACGCACAAAAATATTGCGGCACATTTCCCGACGTCAAAGGATAAACACTTAACCAATAACATGAAATGATAATTGCAACAAAAATCGGACCGAAAAAGGAACTAATGCAAGTGAAAAGGTTTCAGAAGACTACTTATCCGCAAAAACAGTAGAGTGGGATAATAGATCTTAAGGCAAAACTGTATGAAAAAAAATTTTGGACGATGAAAGTGGTACAGCGCTCATTTCCATGTATCGATGACTGATCACCTTCGCAATTAAAAAAGATGAATTATATGCCAAAATTTTGGGAAACTGAAATCAACACACATTTGGCGATTCATCATCCGATGGAAATAGAATAAAATAATCTGAGATCTTCGATAAAACCGAATGGGAGAACACAGACCACAATCGGACAGAACTTGAATTGATACGATGAATTAACCACATATTCGTATAGTCAAGGATCACTGAGCCAGAGGGAAGTCAAAACAGACTCAAAAAACCTTCCGGACACTACTAATTTTCTTGAACGAAAACGGATCGCACGAACTGAAAATGTATTTAAAACCCAAGAACCATTCATTCGAGTTCAAAAACTCTCTTAAGCAAAAAAGGCAAATAAATGTTTGCGAAAATTTACTAAGAAACCCATGTGAAAATCTTGCACATTTTTGAGTGACAAATTAGGAGCAATGTTGAATTGGATTTGATTGATACAAAAAACGTGCACTATTGTGCGGACAGCGCAGCAAAGTCACAGTTTGATGCAAACGTGTGACTAGAGAGAACAGTGCCGTCGCAAGAACAAGCTGGGAACGTGTACGTGAGAAGGTCCCTTATTCGTTGCAAATCTCTGCCATCACGCCAAATTACTAGCAGAATCAAGCGCATGCCTAAACAGCCACGCAAACATTTCAGAGGCCATCTTATCGATGAAACGTGACCCAGAGTTTTTCGGCCTCCGTAAGCTACTATCGACGATCAAACTAAAAAAGCACTGACAATTGATAATAAAAGCCAACTCATAATACGTATAAGTAAAATCTTGAGATATTCACGCGAGCCGTAAACCTTTTTAAGATAAAACTTTCTTCCACCATCGAATTTATGACTGTGAAACAGCCAGGAGGAGTGACAGGACCGCATCTACCCACCTTAGGTATAGCAAATATAACTCAAAGGCAACTTGAGCCGTTCTTTGTTCACGCAAAAGTCTCAAGAGGCAATGCACAACACTTTTGAAAACCCCAAAAGCGTTGGCAACTGAACCCACTTTTAAATACTCCATTCCTCAAAGGAGGATCAAATGTATCAAACAAGTGTTTGTCTTAATTTTGATAATATTTTAAGGCGGTCGCCAGGGTGATTGGGGTGGAAACAGCTCAAAACCCAATTATGGGAATATTAACTCAGCCGCCCTCTAAGAGGAATTGAGCATTAAAAGCCGCATGAAGAGCGGTACATTCATTAGCTGAAAATTTAAAGGAGGCACGAGAGGAGAGGCACATCACAGCAAAGAATACCTGCCGGGTATGTCCACCTACCACTTCTGCTCACGAGTGCAATGTATTTGGTTTATGACACTTTGATGTAACCAACAAGGAACAAGATTTAAAACTTTGCCTCTAACCAAAAAGGTGGCATGAATATTTGCCCCTATGCATTCCTCCCCTCGTAACTCCACCTTCAAATAGCGAATACGAAAATGGTGACGGGCAACCCAGTAATCTCCAGTATGAGTCGTGTTATACTGAAGAAAGGTATCAACAGGTACAAGCAAAAGCAGAAATTACTCTATTTTACAGGTGGTGGCGAAGAAAAAAAAATGATAAGCAAAAAAGACAGTTCAACTACTTTAAAAGTATGTATCATGAAACTGAAAGACGACTTCACGTTGCCACTGAATGGTAAGTTCCTGAAAAATTATGTACGATGGTTTAATGAATAAGCATTGAGTAGGATAATATACGACTCAGTCTCTAGGAAAAAAGTCTAAGAGAATAAAAAGAAACAAATGAAGGTTACTCAATAACTTTTGACAGCCAAAACAGAGCTGATATACTAGACGATTTAAGATCAGTTACATGAAGAGGCTGGGTAGACATGACAATCGATTTCGCTAACCAGTGTCAACGTTTTCAAAAAAATAAATTGCACAGTATCTATTTAAAAACTGGAACTCATACACGTTGCATAACCATGAACCCCCACCACATTAAACTAAGGGGAAACTATTTCTTCATTGCTGATAGCATTTGTAATAAAAACGAATACTAACATCTGAAATAAAAATAGAAGTCTCCGTCAACTAAATTATTTGTCGGCCAAATTAAGCAGATAAATTTTCAATAAAGTAACTTCGATGGACAAAGTTTAGAATTGAAGCCACCATTTGACAATTGTAAGCGAGAAGAGAGGCAATATGGAGATGTTATAAAAAAGAAGAGGAACTTACTTGACGAGAGGAGGATTGGGAAGCGGAGATATGGAGAGCGGTGTTAGGCACTCGACGACTAGAGTCCTCAACTCGTTCACCGAAAGAGGGGGACTGGTCAGGGGGAAGTTCGCACCACAGATAGAAACATTCTCAACAATTCGAGAGCCCAACAGCCGCGAGTCAATGGAGGATTCATCGAGAAAAATCCTCGATATATTTGAGGAAGTTATGTTCAGGTAAAATGTTTTTTGATTCAGGCTGAAAAGACTTATCTAACCAAGGTAAAAGCAAGTGGAGTTTACGATGACCATAGAAAGAGCCACGATGATGATGAAGGTCAATGAACACAAAAATGATAGAATGGTAAGTTAAAAAGTGGGAGTAGTTACTATGTGCTGCGTGCTAATCAATGCTAATCTGGTTTTAGTCTGTTATTTTGTTCCCAAAAAATATCGCAAGAGCTAGCGGCCTACAATTAATCATGGCAGAATCTAAAATGCCGCAATTAATTAAATGCTCAGGCGTGGGAAGCCGACAAATAATGGGACAAATCAGTTCCCAAAATGAATTTAAAATTATATATACCTAAAGAAAAATTGCTGATAATAAAATAAAATCAGTTTAGATGCAAATACCATGACGAAACAAGGGAAATGAATTAACACTGCTGCGGTTTTCGCAATGGTCCAACACTCTTCTGCAAGATTATGGGGCTCTGTAGTGCAAGAGCCCCCACTGCATAAACGTCACTGCTCAATGGCCACAAACAATATCACAGGATAAAGCTAACCGCTATTGAAAAGTAAGTTACAAGCGATCAGATCGTTTGAGGTGTGGAAAGTGATTGTTGGGAAAGTATCCTAGGTGCAAAAAAACCTAGAGATTTCACTTGGCGCTTAACGGTAAAAGGCGAAATTTGAAGGGTGAAAGTGGACTTTATGCTAAAATTTGTAAGGAAAAACCGCAGATTACTTTCCCTATCACAGTTTCAGAAAGCATGATTTAGTGATCAGGAACATTGCTCTAAAAATGGTTGCAACTGGAAAGAAATACAAAAACAAGTCAAAATCAAAACAACGGAGGCCATATCCCAGTTGATATAGCAAACTTTCTACTTTCTAACATTAATTACATATCGTGGTATAGATAAGGTTTTAAATGTGAAAGCAGTACTAAGACGCAACCACAAAATGAATAAATTTGAACACGACCAGAAACTTCGAACCAAATCGCTCCAGGAAACCAGTACATTGCCGCACAACTAACTTATGCTTAACCTGATTTGTCTGGATTGAACCACTGTCCTGCAGACTATAGCCATACAGGAATTGAGTCTGATGATCTCTAGAAAGTAACAGCAGCAATGAAATGCAAATTACGGCTTATTACTTTTCGAATAATTGACACAATTCAGTTAAAATCTCCCATGTCGCATGGAACATACACCCACGGAACAAGGACCACCCTCAAAAAGTGGACTATGCACCAGCGCTTTCTAAAGCGCCCCGCTAACGGACAGCGCAGCTGCATCTGTACCTATTTGCATTTCCTCCTCCACTGTTGCTTCTACGAATTGAAGGAACAACGTGTGGAGTGAGCACGATCCTCAGCGTGAGATGTCGATGGCGTGATTTTGGGTCACGCGCCGCGGGCGACAGGTCAATGGTAGTGATGTGTCCACATTGGAAGAAAGACACCCTTTGGCATTAGCTACCGCCATGGAGGGATTTATGAAATAAGAAAAATTGGCTGACGTACGGAGTAAATCCTGAGCAATAGAATTGACGCGCAGAACGCAATAAATTCAATCTGGGTTCGGTTAAAATACCAACAATTTATTTTAAAATTACGTAAGTAAATATAATAAAACAATATTTTGGCAAAGAAATAATACATTTACAGCTTTCTAACTAGAGGAGAGTGAACTAGTGGGATAGTGCTGTCCTTGAGGTAAGAGCGACCAAGATATGTGAACATCGCTAACCAGGGAAGCTCGAGTAATAAATACGCCTATTCATCGGTCGACATCTGATTACTTTGAGTGACACTAGCAATATCATACCTGAAGCGTCAAAATTGGACAGGTGCGAGCACTTAACCCACTGTGCCGGACCAAAACAAAATATGTGAAATAAATACACCTGGATGACATATGGGATTCATCATGTAAGAGACCAACGGACTGGAGCGCCTGAAAGACGGCATCAGATAATAATGAGACACAATCGCACTAAAAACTGAGGGAAAAAGTACAATCTAATTACCACTACTCTGCAAAATATTTCGATCAGACCTTACTGCACAGCCTGGAAGTAGTTAGGTTTAAAAAGTAGTTCAACGGGTGACTGTATGACTGGGAACCGAGAAATAGATGACGAAGATTGGTTGTAGAAATAAGGACTGACTCACAAGCCCATAAAATACCAAGAGAAAAAGCAAACCATGATTTACTAAATTCAATTTTAGAAACCATAGGTGTAAAACTTAGTTCTCCATCAGTGAATTATTTGGTCAAGTAGGTGAAAAGACGTGTAATCTCTCCGACGCCTGTACCACCAAGTGTAAAGATACATTAAACATATCTTAGAAAAAAGCCAACAAACAAAGAAGTCCAAGAATGCCTCGCTCTGTAACAATGCGTCATCGATTAGTTAAGTCATTATCGCCTATTATGAGACATCAAAGAAAGGGAATAAATGCCCAATTTCCACTCATAGGTATGCAAACACGAATAACCTGCAAACACGGTGGACACGATGGGTAGACTTGGAAAGACTAAGGATGATTGCGAGGAACGTGAAAGGGGATTTGCACAAAAGGTGAAAGCAACTGCAAGCTTTTAACATAAATACGAAGCTAAATCGCAGAAGAGGCACCCATATATGTGAGTCTTGATACCTTGTAGAAAATAATGAGTTCTTCAAGTAACAAACCTAAAATTCTACTGCGTATAAGGTTGAAATATATGCAAAAATTAGCACATGAAAACATAACTTGAAAAAAGAAAGGGTTTTCACAAAAACTTCCAGGCTTTAAAGAATGGTCGTCCTGGAAAAACGTTTACTTTAAGGTATCGCTGCGGCACCATCAATGCGGAAAATGAATGGCAATTAGAATATCAAAAAACACGACGCATAAAGAGAAACTAACCTGCTTAAGAATTAGAATAGCACCCGCACAAAGAAATCTCCTGTACTTGTGAATTGCGTTTTTATCAATGCTGCAGCCGATTTTACCTAAGAAGCATCACGCGCAACAGGTAGTTATGGTGGGCAATAAGTATCAGTTTATAACAATGGTTTGTATGTTCAGATAAAACAAAGTGGCCACAGTTTTATATCAATAGCGTAGATTGATGACTAATTTGGGACACTACAACTGTTTTATTTAATACATTTACTTGTAGTAAAAAAGTACCTATAGTTGTATAAATTTACCTGTTTCGTCCTGCAAAACAGCCCTGGCAATTGGAAGTGCAGTATCAATTTTCTCAATTGTTGCACAAAGCACCGGAACCTTTCCTCTAGGAAAAGCTTTATCCGTGTTCTGTACAGTGGCCAAATCGATATTCCTCTTACTCTTATTATTTTCTCAATAGTGTAGTCGCTGATAATTTTCCAGGATTCAGAGCCAAATAAAGAAACCACCCGATCCCAGATAACGTTGCTCTGGGAGATAGAGAGGTCACAATCCGAAGCACTTTGACTGAAAGATTCATTCGTCGAAAGAGACTAAATATGTAGGAACGAGGAACGTGCTTACAGGAAGTTTGCGTTTGTGAGCGCCTCGTGAATTTGGCTAAAAAAAGAGGCGATATCTTTATCGGAGAAAGGTGGTTCACAAAAGATAGTTTTACAAAACGTACTCCACGCCTGGGTAACATACTCAAAGGGCCAGGAATGCTTCTTCTTCTCCTCAACGATGGTGAGGGTAGATTCCCTAGTTTAAAATGAGCTGAAACAAAGCGAATACCCGAACCGGTAGAACGTCGGGATTCCATTCTTGGTCAGGCATTGGATGTGCACACACTTCAAAGTCCGAAAACCTATAGATAAAGAAAAGTAACAAACCACCTATAATAAGCTGCAACAAACAATTGGTCTATCATGGTGAACCACTACTAGTTTACAGTGACGGTTTTGGGAAGGAATCCGAATAAGAAGGTTACAAATGAACGGAAGGTTGTGACAAATTTTTAGCAACCACACTATGCTAATGCATTAAAAGATGAAAAAAATGGTGACATGAGGGGTTATTAAAAATTTCTGAATCAAATAATTCAATTATGTTATTCAGTTCCTCAAATTCTAGACATTAAATGCATTACAATTGAGTAAGAATGAGCACGTCCTATGACTACAGACTTCCTCATTACAAAAACGTCCAAAACTCATACGAATAAATCAAACAATGGCCAATATTTGGTTTCAATATTGACTTTGTGATCATTGATGTCTCCTTTGCCAAATAAACCAACCACCATTGAAGTTATAAGCAGGTTTGACTTTGTAAACACTTAAACGGTAGTTATCCTATACGGTAGACCTAATTGACAGAAATACTCACGCAAAGAGGCAAATTCATTACACTGAAGGCGAGATAACAAACTGTTGCTGGAAGACGGCATTCGATTATCAAAAAAACGGGACCAATGCCCTCGAAATTACGGGTTTTGTAATTAAAACACTGAATTTGATCAACAACACTTTTTAATATGTAATCATCTTCAGGGATAGCAGACTGCTCAGCATAGAGTTCGCTCACAAAAGTCATTTCTAACATAAAGTGTTGAAGAATACACGACCAGACAGCTCCCACACTCCAATTCACAAAATGGTTGTTTTGGGGAAACAAAGTGCTATGAAGAATTCAAATGGAACCCAGAAAATCGGATTCTATGACCACGTGACTCAGAAACCTAGAAAAGACTCCTTAAACAGTGGCTCCAAATGTCACATTGGAGAAGAAGATAGATAATGATATTACGGGGGGACGGCAAGTCATGGTTAAATACACAAGGCCCGTAAAATTAAAAAACAGAACTAACCACACCACTTTAAGTCGTGGACCTCGAGGATTTTATAGATCGTCGGTTAATTTAAACAAGTGCGGCCAGATGAATGACATTTCATAGCGAGCTAGATGCAAGTGCTTTAATTAAAACTAAGGTATTTTATAAAGCTACTAACCAGGCTGCTTTAAAAAGTGGTCAGAAGTAAAATCCTGAGTTTTTCCGAGCATTGAATTACATGCTCATTAAGCAGTATGACTTCCATTTGCACAAAACTCAAAATTACACTTTTTCAAAAAGCAAAGTTGTGTGAATATTGAGAACCCTTATCATGGTGACATTGTACTTTGACGCTCTTGTTGAACCGCTCGGGCACTTGAGTCTCCGGAGTTTGTATTCATGCTCCACTGCTTGACCTTCGGGCCATGCTAATGGCCTCCCAAGTCTTTGATACATTAATAATATTTGTTTTGCCATGCTACTTTGCCTCATTACGACTTCAAGGAGGAGTAGAGGTGCCGAATTATAAAAAGTAAAATTTAACTATGTTGGCACTGTTATCTACAATCTCTTCAGGATTGATTTATCTGACTATTCATATTCTTCTAGGGGTGTACCAAGGGCCATATAACATCGAATAACTATGTGTATTGAGCATATGCCTGCATGAATACGTGCATTTACATCCAAAGTCACTCTGAAGTTGAGAGATAACGCAGTATCCTTAGCACTATCATTACAAAATAGAAGATACTTAAATCCAAAACCAGCTTGACAAAGTAGGAGCAAAGAAGTAGGCATAATTAAAACCGAATTATATTGTGCACATGACTAGCTGTGCAGCTGTAGTAATTCAGTGAAGACAGGAGTGAATAAAGCAGCCGTCTTAGCTACCACCATATCCGTAGCGGTATAACTAAACAGGGTTTTATGGTCATGTCGCCTCCTGGATCTGAGCTCTTTTAAAGCCTTCAGCTGCTGGGATGGTTTGAGGTCGTTTTTTCTCCCTTCCCCCTCCCTCAGCGTACTAGACTTCTGCCGAGTTTAGAACGCGCATACATGACCTGAGAATAGCTGCGCTGGATTACTTCGGGTTTTAGGATGCATAACACTGTGATACTGCATCCGGATTTTGTCCACACCTCAGCCCAGATTTGTTGAAACTCCAAAGAATATGGACAAATTTATAAGCGATACCATCGGATTGGGTGTGCGTAAGCTTTATCAGCAGCTTTTGGCACGCGATGCTCTCTAGTCAATGAAATTGTGACCCATAGGCAGTCACTAATACATGTAATGTTCCTCCTCCAGAGTACTCTGAAAGTACAATCCGCAGTGAGCGAAGTAGTGAAGTAGACCTCTGATCAGCTTAAGAGTCGAGAATAACTAACTCATGGCATTTGTCCGGAAATGAACTACAGTGGTTAGCATGTATGTGCTGCCAGGATTAAAAGGCTGACGGTCAAAGGGTTGATTGTATTGACTTTGAATGGGCCTTTTGCAAATACTGAGCAAGGGCTCCGAAAAGTCCTGATCACAATCACTTAACATAATCAAAAAGCTTTCATCTCACTGAAGGCAGAATCATGATTCAATCTCCAAGACATAGTGGTCTATCAGGTTTACCTGGATGTTCCTAACGATGTTCATAGAATTCTACCAACCTTCAACGTACATCTCATGTCCACTTTTCGTAACGAGTTTAGAAGTGTGTGGTAATGCTCCCACGTGTAATTAATTAGAATTACCTTCTGCATGTCAAAGTAGATAGTCAGCATGCACCATGAGCTCGGCACTGTGGTATTGGATATCGTATGAGTAAGCAAAACTCCATTTAAGAACTGTTGCAGCAGAGGATTTTGTCTAGTATTTGTGTGGATTATAGGTAAATTTCAAGACTCCATGTGTACCTGACAAATATTTTTGTTGGGTACGCACTTAGTCTCTCCTTATGCGTTTGAACACAGACATTCAGCTGAGCTAAAACGACGCGAATCGCACAGAACAGGGCATCTATCTTGATCTAAGGCTGTACAAATAACTGCCGGTGCGACACCCATGATTAGAGTTGATGGATGTCTCAGAAAAAAGAGCCACAAAGCGGCTTTGGAACCAGGAACATTCAAAAGTAACCTTTGCTTAAGTTTATGTGTATCAGACGATGCAAGGGTACCATGAAACTGAAGATGACTGGCTCAGCCAAGCTGATGATGAAACAAGAATATTACTGAATGGAGCTCATCAAGGAGCAAATATCAGTGGAAGTCTTTGGGGTTGGAGCACTAGAGGCAGAGAAAAATAATCAGGTTTAGGTTTGTGAGAGTTTTCATCTACCAAAAATTCCGGACGTGAAGACTTTTATGAATATGTCTTTTAGTATGAGGCTGCATGTTGGGAAGTCAAGTTGCGACATTTTCGCAGATGGCAACTTTTAAGTAAGCAGTGATAAATTCATCACATCCCAAAGGGTAGTAGTTAGATCGGTCGAAGCGGAATTCAGGCCTTTAAAGTCAAACCTAGAGAAAAATCGAGGACCGGGGAATTGGCGCAGGATGTGTTCTCCCTCCAATGCTGCACAACTCTGTTGCGGTAGTAGGTTATTGAGGGTGATGCAGTCGTCACTGCATCGTCACGCTTGGGAAAAGTCACAACGGTACTGCCCAAGCCGATGACTGAACAATTTTAAGTATCCCCTTATCCACTAATCAATCCAATGCATTCATAGCAGATTTGCGTAAATCAAACAGAAAACTTCGTATTTTCGTACACGCCGGAAAAACTTTCAATTCAGGTAGCGTCAGCATGACCCTATCTCACTAACGCGATTGGCTGTAGAGTTTGATTGAAGGTCATTTGAAAAGAGAGGGACAAAATATTCAAAACTTTCATATACATCAAACCAATGCTGGAGGACAATGATCATTGATAAAAAACTGATATTTACTAGGTTTGAGACGAGAGTCAGTAAGAATAAGTTAGCAGCTGGTCAAGATTACCAATAAGCGTCTTGTAATACCTCCTACAGAGGCATCAGGGTGCCTGATTTCTGCAGCAGGTGTAAGGTGTGCAAAGGAGTCGAGGTAAATGAAAGACTCAGTGCTGCCTGCGGCATTAGTAAATGTTTGCACACGTTACTGATAGGATGAGTTCGCATAAGGTGGCTGAATGGACTAGTGTAACTAGGAGCGAGCACGAGAGAATTAAGGTCAGAACCTATAGTTCCTTCTTCAACAGATGTTTACGTCATAAGTTATTACTATCTTAGAACCACTGTAACATACTAATGACATTCACATTATCGAACAAACAGTTTGAAAATTGGGATCCAGAATTGCTAAAGCCTTTATTTTCAGCACTGATAAATTGATTCCAGGGTTAGTCGGTCACGGGGCTGAACAAGTAGTTTGTCGCAAAAGTTGCAACGAACCACAGGAGTCTGGATATGACGCATGAAGCTCCTGAAATTTGGCTTGGCTTTCCTCATGGCCATATGAAACCTAACTGGTTCAGCTGGTTTGAAGTTCACAGACTTCATAAATAAGTCAGTGGAATTTGTTTTAGGCTTTTGTAAAAGAATGGAACGGTGGAATCTGCAAGCAATATATTATTTTTAGCTTGTAAGCATCTTTCTAAATTACTGTGAGGAAGTAAGTCCTTAATTTGTCTGCCTTCACGCCCTTACGAGGTGGACAACAAATTTCACGATGTTGAAGATCATCATCAATCTTCCGAACTTCGAATGGACAACCACCGACTTTTGAATTTCACACTTCGCGATGTCGTTTGTATTATTCTTAACCTAGGGATATCACGAAGCGCGAAAGACTCAAACCCAGAATTAGTTTGACGAAGTAGAAATAATGAACTTGGTGGCATAAACTACCACATTGAGCACACAATTACCTATGCAATTATAGTGATATGGTAAATCAAAAATCAAGAAATGGGCCACTTCGTGACCACCAAATAGGAAGTTGCTGCTTTGTTATGCGCTTACCGGTTGTCTATATTTGTTAACAATATTATTTTTTAAGGGGCTAACGCTATTTTGAACTTGATAATGCAAACAATTTTATCTTATATTAACCTTTCAAAAGTAAGAACATGAAATTTGTTAGAGAGATCTGGATCAATTTCACACAAGCAAATTGCATTTAAAAATGCCACAAATAATTAAATGATCACTCAAATTGGCCAGTTATTTCAAGTGAAGTTATGAGATAGATTGCGTACCATTATTCCCGTCAATCCGCTGATATGTACCGTTGTTAGGTTGCCAGTCGCTGATGGCAAACTCAATCAAGTCGACTTTTGTTGACTAGTAAGCAATGGTCGCAAAGCGGGTGGGTCAGACCCTCTGGAAATGCTCCCAAGGTGTTAAAATAGCAAACAGATTATTTGAATGTTGGTCAGATCATAGTACTTTTGACGGGATATTGTAAAAGTTGTTGAAAGACGGATAAGTGAGCACACCGAAATTGCTGCTGGATGGCAGTGACGCCTTACCGCCAACTGATCAAGAATAACGCAGACTTTATGGTACACACAGAAGCAATTGTCCTTCTGGCTAAGTATCTCAATGACTAAGTTGTGGGGGGTAGGTCGAGTAGAGAAGTATATTTGACAATGACGTCTACATATGATACATTTTTTCCAATCGAATTAATTAAAAGGCCAAGGCTGCTGTAACAACAATCAGTGCCTAAAGTTGACTTCCCAAGAGCCAACTGATTTGATAGAGTTAAAATGAGGGCATATCTTCGCCCACACAGGCATACCATAGATTTGCCGAAATAAGGCAATGTCATTCACTCAATGTTCTGAAAAAGCTGCTCCAAATCCCTTTTAGCTTATGCAATAGATATCCACTGTAGGTGTTTCCTAAATAGGGTTTTATTCGCAATTAATAAGCAAAATTTATGAGGCGATATAAATCCTGACAAATAAAGTGGAGTGGGTGCTGAGTCTAAAAGTTGATAAAATTGGTACCTGAAACGGATAGGATTATTTTGCATGGTAGGCATCCGATCATCACCATCATCTGTGGCTAAGCTTAAGGTCACTGTAAGGCAAATAACTTTCAAGTGTTGAATGCTACGTACAGTTGAATGATCACGTACGTTGATCAGTCAACTCCCCGAAAGGCAGTGAATGGAATGGAATAGAAAAGGCGTATATCTGACGAGGCGCATTTATTTAACCTGCTTCTAGTGTCGGACGGCTTCATTTT